CTGGTAAATTCTGCTTTGGTGTGGATGACACGCTGAAGGGATTAGAACTGGGTGCAGTAGAGACATTAATTGTCTGGGAGAATTTGGATATTTCACGCTATATCTTGAAAAATGCTGTTGGAAGTAAGTTAATCTGACAATTGACGACCGCTCTTGGGTATATATGATAATTCTCGCAAGGTGTTATTCTATCGCCGATATGGATATTGACATTTAACTCACTGAATTTATCTTTCTATCCTTTCCCAGCTGAGACAGTGATCCATTTAACCAAGGAACAGGAAAAAGACCGATCTCGGTTTCAGGACAAGGAAACTGGAGCAGAGATGGAAGTTGTTGATAAGTTGTCTCTACTCGAATGGCTTGCTGAACATTACAAGGACTTTGGTGCGACACTAGAGTTTATTACTAATCGCTCACCGGAAGGATCGCAATTTGTCAAAGGATTTGGTGGAATTGGAGGATTACTAAGATACAAGGTCGATTTCGACCAGCTGACTTATGACAGTGACGATGGTTTTTTGTCTGGTATGTATTGGGAAGGAGTATTAGTTAAGCAAATTGCCTTTATAATTAACATGAGAAGTATTAACTCGTATTTATTCAATTCAAATCGACAGATTAAAAAACAATTATAATAATACAGACTCTGTCTTAATAGCTACACTGAAAGTATATCGATATATGTTTATAATATACTTTCCTTTCGAAAAGTACAATACTTATTGTAAATTTGTAAGTAAAAAGAAAAGACTAACCTGGCTTTACGTAAGTTGAGCCGGGATAATTTCTTTGTGATCTGGCGTAATTAGAATAGCGCGTTCGGGTGTCAAAAAGACACTATTCCTATAGTATGCTGATTCACCCATGTAGTGAAGTACAAGCTAATAAACGGACAAGTGTAATTTAACAATTACAAGTTCACACAACTTGCGTGGACAAAAATAGAAGGTGGTTGGATGTATGTAACCCCGTTTCGACCTATTGGATTGTATAGAAACCAACTTGTTTGAAAATTCCAGACTTGCAACAAATGCGTGATTATATACCAAGTCTTGCGTATTTCAAATTATAATTACCCTAAGCCCGCTATTACTACTGTGAAACTTCTAATACAGTTGTATGCAGTCATCTAGGAGAAAAAATATTGGGTAGAGGATATTTCTCTGAAAATGGTCCTTGCTGCCTCAATCAAGGAAAGCTATTACTATGGGCAAGTGGTATTAATAGTGACGTGTTTCCTGCGTTAAAATACGCGTAAAATTATGTGATTCGGATCGGTTTGCACAGTGCACGGATAACGTAAGCTTTCGCGGAAGACGGCTGTTTTACCAGCTAGCTAACATATTTTGCAAGATTCTGAAATCACAAAGTAAATTCAGTTGTTAATTATTACTGATAAACGCGTATGTGATTATTTCCTGACGTCCTACGACTGATCTCATCGGGTTACGACTGTAGTGTATAACTCAATCCGACCACGCCAACTACGCTTGGTCTTTTTTCTCAAACCTACTGGCACCTCTCTTATCCACAATCACGAGATTCTATTCGCGTTGACACTGAAGATGAATATAAACTCCATGCAGAAAATAAACAATTCTTAAAATTGCATATATTACCAAGTCTGCGTATGCAAGAGTCGTGAACAGAGAGGTTCGCCAAAGCCTCGATTGATCCCAAGGCGGCGCAACTGCTGAATATTGATTCATATTTTGTGTAATCCATAGTTTGGACTTTAGATAATGTAACTTCCTAGATGCTCACATTAATGTTAAACGAAAACGGATGGTTTAGTTAGCTGGTAAACAGAAAAAGTCATCTTGCTCGTTGCTTTAATAATTATACCGGTCTCGTTATTGATCATCTGATGTCAGAATACTTGTTCACTGCTGTCATACAAAGTACTATTTATTAAAGTGTTGTTTTAATAAAACTTTAGTTGAGAAATTCGTGTTATCAGATCACGATACAAGCATGGACATTGTGTTTGCTATACAATAATTGGAGGGCAGAAATGAGAAAATTATTTTACTTGCATCGGCCGGATATCTCCAACAAAGCATTCTATACAAGAAACGTGTAAAAACCGTGTAGTGCTTATTCGAACATGAACTTCCATACCTCCATTTTAATAGATCTGCATGATTTTTTTTACTATTGTCCACAGATCTGCTCTACGCGTCCCTTGGGAGAGATGGTCGAATTGAAGAAAAATCTTGATATGCGCATGTTGTCCGTACAATCATAATAGCAATCGCACCAACACATAATGTTGCTGGACAGTGTCGACACATAAATTTTTTGACCGAAACTGCGCGTGGAATCTGATACACTGTATCTCGAGAGTAGAAACATTTGGTGTCGACCTGAAATTTTTATAATTGATTAGTATCGCAATGCAAGAAAATTAAAGCATATACTTATTTTCTGCCCCGAATTAAACCGTATAATTATTTAATTTCCATTGAGAATCAAATTAAAATTACAAACAAAATTTCTCCTTTTAGTGGCGCGAAAAATAAGTGAGTTGTTATCAGTCTGTGAGTAGAAATCAAGAAAAACTGACGAAATTATTCTGGTATAAAATAATAATCGTGTTAATATGTGGAAAACAATGCACATCAAGGCTTGGTCTCGGCAGCTTTTTTATTCAACGATACATTTCGTTCTATTCACCAAAAGTTAATCAAAGTTTCTGCCATTGCAGGCTATGCGCAACTAAGCCAGCACCCAGATTAATTTTAAACGCAAATTTTACCTTTGCCTGTGCCAAAAATAATTTTCCCATGGGGTTCTATCACGCGTCAAATTGTTTAATGCCCAAAAGTTTGGACATTTCAGACGTTAACTAAATTGAAGACTTGAATTATTCAAGTTTATGATACTCGGAAATGAATTTAAAAATACAATTTGTAAATTTAATTATTATGTAAACGTTGATAGATGAGAAAAGTTTTTACAAACGCAATTTAGAACACAAGTAGAAACAATTATTGTAAATTTTACTTTGATGTAATTAACATTGTTACGCTTTTCTTTTTTTTATGTCAAACATAGTGTTCTTTAGAAGCTGTTATTTCGGTGATAATCTTTGCCGAGGACATTATTGTTGTGACTAGAATTTGCAACAAAACTATAATTGCAAAAAGTAGGAGTTGAAACTTGATGTTAAGGAGATTATGCAGATGGTGAAACTTTATGTTGTGCTGATGAGTGAAACTTAAATTAATAAACTGTAATGGCAGAGTAAGAGTTTTATTCCATATTGAATAAACAACAGTTATCGATCAAATTGTGTGAAGAGAAGGCACAGGTATATTACAAGGCACTAACTAGGTTACCCCACAAAATTAATCTATGTAAAAAGACATTTTGTTTTATTACAGAGATTTATGACCGGGAACAAAGGAAACAAAGGAAACGATATTGGTTTGTTCTATGGTAATATGCCAGTTGCTAGAAAAAGCATGTTCATTTAGAGCCCCCATTTTATCTTGCATAGTCATGCAATCTAGAAAATTAAATGATAATCAAGTTTTTTAAGAAAGAAAAAGGGCATTGGCATTGTGAATGCATTGTTTTAAGATTAATATTTTTAGATACACCATTTAAGGAATTTACTATTACCGTTCAGCTCATTTTTTGTTATCGAACGAGATATTTTCAAACGTTTGTATGTAGGCAAGAAACAAGGAAAATATCAGGTAGAGCGAATACCGCGACGCTTTTTACGATAATAATTTGAAACCCCTGAAAAATCTCTAGTGTGTGGCGTTACTGATCACTTTGTCTGACGATGCATGCCCCAGATCTATTCTTATTAGTCATATGAATTACAAAGTAGTCTTTATGTGTACGAATGTATGCACAGAAGTGTATGTATGTATGTGTGTACGTATGTACGTATGTATGTATGTATGTAGGTATGCATGAATGTATGATGTAAGTAAGTATATATATATACACATATGTATGTACGTGTATGCCTTAAAATGCATTTGAACAAGTACTCATACCAGTTAATCACAACTCTGAATTTCTCAACCATACAATGTCGATAAGATTTTTTTCACAAGTTTTGCCGAACCCGCCACTCCCCTCCCCCCCATCCTCTCACTCACTCACTCTCACTCTCTCTCCCACAGTCAATTATTGATTGGATACTTTTTTTTTTCTCTCTTCTTGTTCATCGTTACGCGAATGTAATCATTGCCAAGTTTAATTTGTCTTTATCAAATATGTGCTTCATTTTAGAGTTTATTTTGCGTTTCGTAACATTCGTGACCCATACGTTACACGAGATATATAAACATAGGACGAGTAACAATAGCAAAGACGATTATAGGTGGAGAGGGGAGGGGGACGGGGGACGGGGGACGGGGGAGGGGAATAGACCCAACGGGAATAATATGATAATTGGAACAATAATTGATAAAGTAGAACAAGGACTATAGGGAAACAATAAAGACAAAGAACAATAAATATCTGTAACAATATTAAACAATGAAGTAACGAGAGAAGAGAGGACCAAAAAGATGCAATGGTAATGCACCAGAGGAATTGGTGCGATATACAATGACCCTTCTTTAAAGAACATGGCTTTGTTTAAAACTGGTAATGTCTTTATCGATTGTGGTACTATTATTCTTATTGTTTGTTGTTATTGTTGTTATTGTTGTTGTTGTTATTATTATTGTTGTTGTTGTTGTTGTTGTTGTTGTTGTTGTTGTCGTCGTCGTCGTTGTTGTTGTTGTTGTGATGATTATTATCTATTCTATTTTATATTGTTATTGTTGTCGTTATTGTCATATGATGTTGTGTATGATGTTCCCGTCGAATAGTATGGTGCAATCGTAACTGATGCCACTGATGCTGCTGATGCTGCTGATGCTGCTGATGCTTGCTGTTTTGTTATTATCCTTATTATTATTTGTTGTTATGATTATTATTATGTTATCATTATTATTTGCTCTCAATACTCACACGGTACATAGCTTCCTTCGTCCTATCCATCTATCTACATTAAACATGTAACATGCAAAAACTTTGTCCGCTATCACATGAAAAAACAGTCGGCTTGCGTGTGTGTGATCTCTTAAACAACAAAATAGAGATACTGGTAAAAGGAAATATCATAGACACACCATCATTTCCAAAGATCTTATTGATCATCGACTTGTTTTTCTTTCATAGCCCACGTTTTTACATGTCTGCTAGTATCAAATGTGTGCAATGTAGTGATTGGCTCGTAAGATTCTGTACAGTTCACATGATTTCTCATAGGCAAGTAATATCATGTGACTGTAACTGTACAAACAACACACTACATACACTACATACTATATACACTACATACATACATTACATACACTACATACACTACATACACTACACTACCATTTAATTATTAATTTTTTTTACGCTCTCGCATACTTATTCTTTATTCATATCACAATACATGGTTTTTTAAACGGCGCCCATTTCATGTCAAACACATTCACTTTATCTGATAACAACGGAATATTTCCCAATGCAAACAAAGACAAAGTCACCAGATACTCCAAAACGGGTATCAATCACAAGAGACTGCATGTCTATAGCAATGAATCAATCAAAAGAGTGAAAAGCAAAAGAAAGAACGTTGTGACTATACTGAAAGTGGATCAACCCGAAATCCGAATAAAGCAAAAAGGCACTGTTGTTAAAATGCCCAACTCTTTTTTTTTTTTTTTCTTCTTGCATCTCATCATTTAACAACGCCCTCAATAATACCCTTTTTGCACTTTCCTTTTCCCTTACTTGGGAATGCACATACACACGACATCACAAGTAAGCGCAGTTCCGCCTCCCGCCTCTCCTCCTCTCCTCCTCTCCCCTATCCTCCCCTCCCCTCCCCCCTCACTCCAATATCTAATCATTTTTCCTTGGCTAATCTTTCATGCCGCATGATCATAAGGACAACTCTTTGTTGGGTTGAATTGCATTCTGCATGTACATCTTGTTTTCATAATAGTTAGTTCTTTTGCATTGCATTTTTCGCTTTTTGGGTGGCGTCATATTCGTCCTTGTTCATCGCATCGCATCTTCCATGTTCCATTTGTCCCATCATTGTCAAATCAAATTTTTCAATGATCATCACATCTTTTATAGGAATATCCTTAATGAACTTTAATATTGCAATTACCCACACACAAGTATCAGTGAGCATTCCAAAAATCGTTAGTCGCTAACTTATCATTTAACGTTTTGCGTATCACTTGTTTATCTCTCTAATCTCTTTTTTTTTTTTTTTTGCTTCCGTAATTTTCCAACTCAACTTTAAACCAACTCAATCTCTAGTCACCATCTCTGTTATCATCCTGTGCCCCCCCTCACCTGTTGCCTTGGCATATGCTCATACACGAATCACCGCCAATAAGCGTTACAATTGTCATTCGATTACCCGTTCTGTCAACGTGCATAGAGATACCATATTCAATTCCGCAGGGTGCTGACTCAGCAGAGGGTAGGTGCGTGGTATTTTTTTTGTGATGAAAGCAAAAAGGTGATATGTGTGAGGGATTACCAATAGAAAAAGTTGTGTCTTTATATGGCGAAAGCAAGAAACTAAAAAAGCCCGTTATCATTATTACTATCGTTATTATCATTATTTCGTCCAAGTTTTGCATTAATGTATAGTGTTGTTCCGCAGCCACGTTATGCGGAAAATGGCGGGAAATATGCAACAGCGGAAGGAACACTACTTATTGGTGAACGGTCTTACGGGTTCTGAAAATGGCAACGATCTGTAGTTTAATGAATGTTAATATTAATATAAATAAAGCTAGTAATAGTAACGGCATTTCGTTGTTAAGGGCGTATTGCATTGCTTTTTCGCCTTTCCTTTGCTCTGACTAATAAGCCCTTCTTTCTATAGCATAGCCAAGACGTTTACGTAAGGTGATGATCTTGATAATAGACAATATTAATACATCCGATTTCAACACATGTACATAAATATGTTAATAATGTATACCCAAGATTTTGACATTTCTGATGATTTTCCGCTCCCTATTATTTAGACAATAATGCATGCGTATGCAAGATGTCATCGAATCGGTATAAAGAAAAAAATCCAACAATGCGTAGGTAATGATGTAATTTCCCGTTTAATGATTGGTAGATGTGTTCCGGAGTCAACGGAACAACGAGAAAAAAAAGGTTAGTTTATTGTTTATTGTTTAATGTTAGCGTGTCTTACCTGATTAACATGACAGTTATCAGATTAAAAATAAAAAAATTTTTAAAGTCAACCCAAACATTTCCACGTTTTCAAACAAAAAAAAAGTCCCAAACATCAGCACGTATAAAGACGGAAAGGGGGAGGGGGCGGGAGAGTGACTGGGATGAACAAGGATCCGTTAATCGAGGATCCGAGTTGTTCTGTCGATGACTTTTTTCAGTATATTATGTCAACGCATCGATAACAACAAACATAAACAAACAAACACTGGTGTGTTTTTTTTCTCCGATCTTTCAAACAAAGGGCTATTTCCGATCGAAATGAAGAGGTGGTAGAAAAATTAAAGGATCAAAGGGACGAATGGTAAACAACGGACTGAGAAAAATGAAATGAGGAGTGATATGTTTCGTTTGCGAGCATGTTTCATTCATTTCATTCCATTGTATTGCGTCATACGCAATGACATCATATTAATGAAAATAGGAAACAAGTGGGAGAAACAGTTGTATGTACAGTATATATGTTGTATGTATATATGTGTGTATATGTTGTATGAACGTTGTGTGTATATGTACGTTGTGTGTATATGTACGTTGTGTGTATATATGTGTGTATTATACGTGTATGAGTGCAATGTCTCAGAATCTTATTATACGGATATTGAAGTAGCCGACAAGGTAATTCAATGTACGAGTAAGGTAAATCTGCAAGGCACGAGCTGTCACTCGACTAAACATGTATAACAAGGCAAGGAATGCAACGAACACCTCGGCCTAGTCTGTCCATCGAAGTACATGTTGTTTTACATGGTGGTGTGTGTGTACGTGTGTTTGTACGTGTGTGGTCTACATGTATGGGATCTTTATGAGTTGTATGTGGTTTGTTGTATTGCAGATCAGTCGTCATTTTTTTGACATTTCACCTTTCAAATCCAAGACTTACCTAGTGCTTCTTCCTTGTCGACCGTCTTTATCAAATTAACCCCGCAAACATGTATGCAAAATGACTCTAAATTACTTTGACATTGGGTAAGATGGAACAGATGGATTTCTATTTTTACAGATTGGCGGAAGGAAGCACAGATAGGCAGGCGAAAAGGGTATAATAATAGGGATATTGTATTGAACGAACTGAAGAATTTGACATGATTGGATACCAAGAATTAATTTCGGTCGAGTGGGTGGTAATGTGATGTCGATTATACATCATGTACTACCAACGGTCGGAATTACATTAAAGCAATAAGCGAGAGGGGCGAAAATGGCTGATAGTATAAATTAAAAAAGTAACAAGTAAGAAAAAGTGTTAATAATTGAAATAATAAATCATAGTTATTATAATTATAATAATAATCATAATAATAATTATGGTAAAGTAACTATAATAATAAAATAGTCATATAATCATAACAAACAAAAGCATAACAAAATAAATAATAATAACAAAAATGATAATAAAAAATAACGTATACTTTTGTATACTTTTGTATACTTTTATATACTTTGTATACTTTTGTATACTTTTGTATACTTTTTATACTATTTATTATTATTGTAATTGACTCTCATGTTCTGGCCCCGTTTCACCGTTTTGGTTACAGCATGGTAAATATTATGGCCGTGTAACGTTATCGAATCATCCCGTTGAAACATCACATCACAAATTACTTATGGGCTGAGGGGAGGGGGGGAGCGATTTAAACGTGGGAGTAGAATTTTTGATGGACACTACATTACATGAAAGAAAGCCTGTCAAAAAATCTCGGTAAATGGGGCTGTGCGTATTTAGAGATGATGGAAATATTCGGTGAATAAAAAAAAAAAGGCAAAAATAACAATCGAGGCCATTGCACCATTACTATCGTTATCGCCCGTATCGGGTAATGTTTACCGTGTTGACCGTATTGGTATCATCACATACAGCCTATTGGTTAACGTATTATCGCCGTATCGTAAACTATATACAAATGTTTGATGAGAGGTGGCCCGCACTTTGATTGTGAAACGGGGGCCCGCCAGGGCTAGACTCTGATTACGAAATCGACGTTTGGTTCTGGACCAGAACGACTTCCCACACTCTATCCTTAACGTACAATCCAAACAACCATGTGGGAACAATGAGTGGGAATGGCAAAAAAAAAAAAAAAGAGATTGAGTTAAGGAAAAATTAGAGAGAAACAGAATATAATATACGTATAATAGAATATATAAGTATAATAGAATGGAATGGAATAGAATAAAATGGAACGGAATGGAAAAAAGGGGAGGGCTGTCATGACAAGTTTTATATTACATGATAGAACCCTTGAAATGTGAAACAGTCAGTGCGTGAGAAATAGAAACTAAATGATCATTTAGAAGAGATGATCGAATAATAAAAAGTATACGATACAATAAACCACGTTTTATTTTATGTGGCATAGATAATATAAGCATTAACCAATTTTACAAACACGCGGCTAGATCATGCAACAATGAGGGCGGTTTATGTTTGTTGACAAATAAAATTGTTCAAAGATCACCTTTTTCGAATGACACTTTGATTCCATCTCTCTTACTCACTCACTCTCTCTCTCATCATCTCACTTTCCGACGATTGTCGAATGCTTTTATATTATCCAATCATTAGCATTTGGTTTTCAATGACCAAAGTGGCACCCACGTTGATTGGATAAGAAAGTGTGGGGTTATAGAGCATGTGAACATAATAAAAATAACAGAATACGTTTTATACAGCAAAAAAAATTTTTTCTTTTCATAAACAATGTGTCATCATTGTTTTATTGTGGGCTGGTATGGCCACGAGTGAAACCGGTAGCTAGTCGAGATATTTTCTCTGTCGCACAATGGAAAGATCTAATGACTCATGACAACACACAATACAATACAATATACAGATATATCGCACATAACTGATATAACACATATAACAGATATAACACATATAACAGATACAGCACTAGAATACAATATACAACACATACGCACATACATACATACAACATACATACATACGTGCGTAGCATACAACACAACACAGCACAGCACAACACAACACAACACAAACACATATCATACAACAAATACAGCACATACATACAATAACAATACGAGCACACACACACACACATACCATACATGCATACATTACCATCACCATCATTGTCATTGTTATCTCGTTCATTTTCCCCATTTCAACTCTCTTTCAATCTATCACCCCTTTTTTTCCCCTTCAATACATTGATCCAGTTCCATTGTAGTTCGCAGATGCGTGCACTACCAAGCAAGCGCGTAGTTGCAGCAAAAGATGCGCAGATTTAGATAATTACATTTACGGAAAATTGGGGGGGGGGGTATCGAATGAAGGAAAGAGGGGATATGAGAAACGGGGGGGTGGATGGTGGAGGTGAATCTAAAGCAATCATATCTAACAAGATTTGTTTGTCAATTAAATGATTACGTATATATGATATTTGTTGATATATAACGTTATGTCATATCTAGCGGGTTATGTCATTTTCTACGAATTTACATCTACAAAAGCATTTTGGGATGTCCCCCTCTGTAACGTTAACTAAATTAAGAATCAGGACAATAAGTAACATTATTTCAGCATTTCAGCATGGTTCTCAACATGGTAGCCCACGCTACAACGCCGACCAACAAGAAATGCCATTGTACTCCCATGGGCATTAACGCCAAACACAACGAATATTCCAGCCCCCCCCCCCCACACCCCAATGTGTGTATTGTGTGATATGTGATGTGATGTTATGTCTGTTATGTCTGTTATGTCTGTTATGTCTGTTATGCCTGTTATGTGCATTTGTGCATTTGTGCTTTGTGTCATGTACTTTGTGTCATGTACTTTGTGCTATGTGCTTTGTGTTATACTACTTACTGCTACTACTACTACTTATGTGTTATGTGTTATACAATGTGCTATGTTATGATGCTATGTGCTATGCTATGTGTTAATGTGTTATATCATTTACGTGATTGAGCTCTCTTTTTGTATGAATGTTTTCGTTGTACGATCAGTTCTTTATCGTTCTACGTTATACGACGACGTAACACAATCATATTATTGGTTCACTTATAAAGATATGTACGGTATGTAATACAGGACCAGCCTAGACACAGTCGTTGTAAATTTCACCAAATTGCTTTTTCATGTCCTATAGATTTGTCAATAAGGTGAACCAAATCGATACGAGTTTTGCCATTTACGGTAGAAAAACGAAATTAATAAAAAGGTTTAAGGTAAAAAACGGGTGATTCCGGAAAGCCAAGCAAAAATTGTACTTTTTTTTTTTTTCGGAGAGAATGTTTATAATAGGAGAATATATTGACAATCTTTGATTTTCATCGTAGATTGCTATCGTTTTGTTGGTGTTGCTATTATTATCAGCAGTTCCTGTTGATTTGCTGTCGATTGCAACTTGCTTTTTCTATTTTTGCAGCTTGCTTCCCTTGCTCTACCCTTCTGCGCCCTTTTCCCTATCCGTTTTCCCTTTTCCCTATTCCCTAATCCCTATTCCCTAATCCCTATTCCCTATTCCCTATTTCCCCTTTCCTCTTCTTTTCCCTTCCATCCATCATATCCATCTAAAAACTTTTCTTTATTCCTTATTCTCCTCCCTACGAATCATCACATCCTATTTCGTCATTTGTGTTCTCCATGTGGCAGCTCTATTTCGAAAAGATAAAGAAGAAACCGAGGCCTTGTCGTATCACGTATAGTCTTTTTTTTTTCTTTGTCTGCCTTTCAGTCTTGTTGACCCGAACTGTACGCCCTAAATTACATAAATAAATATAAATAATAATACAATTGTTTATGATTATTATTAATGGTAATGTTATTTATATACACTATTGTATGCCTTTGAACGTATAGGGATAAAGAACGAGATATCACATTAATACTACTAATTAATTAATTCTATTCAACTGCATATTAAGGTTTGTATTATAAACATGCCACTTTTTTTACAGTATCAATTATTTTGTCCTACTTTATTCTTTCTATTCTATTCTTCTATTATTCCTATCATGCATGCACCATCGCACCCGTCTCCCATCACCCATCAGTCATCAGAAAAACTACAAAAACCCATCCACTGCCACCTGCCCCCATCCTTTCGAACTCTTAACTCGTTTCTCTCATTGAGAAAAAAAAATTATTATTATACATTTCGTCATAATATTATTTATATAGGAAAAAAAGAGGGTATTTTATAGATTTGGAATTCCCCCTTTTTATTAAACCCCACCTCTAGTGTGTGTGTGTGTATATATCTGGTCTACCTCTTTTTTTTTTACATGCTCGACAAAAAAGTGAAAAATACATTTATAAAATTTAAACACGCGTGTGTGTGTATATAAACCAACGACAACGACAACAACAACAAAAAAGCGTATCAGGAATACCGACAAAAACAACAGCATAACGACGGCGACGACGACAACGACAAAGTCAACGACAAAAACTCAACACTTATATAAATACATCACTTTGGCATACAAATTCTCCATCATTCAAAATGCTTTTACTACGGCACAACACACTTTCATCAAACGACCTTATCACATGTGAACGAGTAAGTAGCAATGTGATAGTCTGTCCGTTCAAACTAAGAACCGGTTATATCCACGTATTCTTGTATTCTTGTATTCTCGTATTCTCGTATTCTAACCAAACTCCTTCTCCTCTCTTTTCTTCATTCCCAACAGACAATGCTAAAGTTCCTCGCAAACAAATTACCAAACACAGGCATGGACTTTGCCGTCTGGGACTGGTCCAAACCCGAATTATACGGAATAGTACTTGGAATGTTGGCCAAACTCGACCTTTCGGGCACTTTGGGAATACGCAAATCAGAAATGCTAGACTTCATAATAGACGTCGAGAAGGGCTATTACGCTACTTCTTACCACTCATTCTACCACGCTGTCGATGTGGTAGCTGTATTATACTACATGCTGACTGATTTGGGTGTTCAGAAATATTTGACCAGCCTCGACTGTGTGGCTTTGCTAATCGCTGGACTTTGTCATGACATTGGCCATGTAAGTAAACAAATAAAGATGGATGTGTGGGAAAAATTATATTATTAAATAATCACGTGATTAGACATTATACAAATAATATAAACTAAAAATTTACCCTTTTTCTATATACAGCCCGGTCTAAACAACGTCTACCAGGTCAACGCAAAAACACATCTTGCAAAACGCTACAACGATCAATCAGTCCTCGAAAACTATTCGTGCGACCTCACCGACGACTTGATAACAAAACACAATCTCTTTGCCAACGTCCATCTTCGCCCTTCCGAATACACTGAAGCTTCACTCCGCCAACTCGTCAGAAAAACCATCCTCGCAACTGACATGGCTTTCCACTTTGGTCTGCTAGTAGAAATGAACTCTATGTTTGAACAAGCATGCTCATCCGAAGACTCGGAAGAAGAATTTGACAACAGCTGCCCTGCAAGTTCAAACGGATCAGTATCTTCTTCGCCGATATCGCCATCCCCATTATCATCCACTTCTTCAATAGAATCTTTCTTCACTTCATTACCGTACCCGAACCTCATAACTCTCGATGTTAATCAACGAGAACTCCTCTGCAAAGTACTCCTCCATGCTGCCGACCTTAGCAATACCGTTAGACCGTGGGACATTTCAAAGCGATGGTCGGATTTGGTGGTGGAGGAATTCTTTCATCAAGGCGACCTCGAAAAGAACAACAACTTGCCCGTATCTCCAAACATGGACAGAGAACAAGCACATCAGTGTCAGATTAGTCTCAGATTCGGTGATTTTGTGGTTAAGCCTTATTTCGAAGCATTCGCTGCTTTTGTACATCCGGCTAAAATATTCTTGGACACTTTAAAGAACAATCGTGCTTATTGGGATGAATTGAAAAATAATAGCACAATTAAAGACGATTCCGTCACAAAAACCATCACCACTGGTACCATTGCTCCTAATCCTACTAGCGTTACCGCTACTGCCACCGCTACCGCTACATCAACTACAACAAGACCTACCACCCTTACTTCCACCTCTTCATATAACACGACCCAAAACACTTCCCGAATACCACCATCACCCCTATCACCCTTACCTTTACTCTCTACTCACCTCCACCACGCGCCTTCGCTTACTCTAACACCTTCGCCATCATGCCCCGAATTCGAAACCAACATTTCGCAAACACAATCTGGTCGCCGCGTGAGTCTGGCAGCAGGATTAGTGATCATTCCCGACGATTTTCAAGAGACCCTCTCCATACAACGGTCACCGAAACATCGTAGGATAAAGAGGGGTTTATCGGGAAGGAGTTATAGTCACCATTCGTTATTACCGCCCTGTTCGGTAGAAGGACTATATGGAGTTAATGGGGATTCGGATTCGGATGATGGAATAGACGATCATTATCGCTGGCCAACGAGAAGGAAATCGGCAGGCCTGAGCAGTTCCAAGAAACACAGTAGTATTAATGATAATTATACAAACAATGACGATGAGTGTGATGATATCACTACTACATCTACATCCACTGCATCCACTACTACATCCACTACATCTACATCTATATCTACACCTACTACATCTACTACTACTAGTACTAGTACTCATAATATTAAAAAAAAGCATCACCAGCAACGGCGGCTTGGTCGAATGAGGCGAAGTAGTTCATTGGATCATAATATGATTAAGCAGATTAGTGCCTTGTATGGTAATGGGAGTAATGCCGAGCAGCGAGTTGTTCTTGCTGGTAGTTAGACAAGTTTAGTTGATAATGCATATTTTGGCGTGTTGCGGGTGCGGGGTACGGATATGCGGGGTGTGCGCCATATACTTGAAATATTTCCCTTGTTTATAGTTATACATAATTTCTTTTACATATATATATAGTTTTTTATCATAGACATGTAAATCTTGGTTATATTTTGCAATCATTCCGTATACATTTCCCCCACTCCTTTTTTCTCTCCTCTCTCAAAAAAAATTGTGCTCTTTTCTTTTTTTTTCTTCCTGTCGCATTTTTTTTCATCCCCCCCCCAAAAAAAACCAAAAATACAAAATAAAATTCACAATCGCATTTTCACGTGACATCATAAACCGGAGTGTTTCACATATTTCACATATTAAATGCAATGATATTATATTTGTTGCCTACTCGTGTGTGCGTATACACAATTACGTCTGTACGAAACGTACAAAAAGAATTCCTCTGTGCACAATACATTCCCTTCATGCATATAAAAAGACCCGTTTTGTCCCTGCCTAACCAATAAAACAAACAAGATACGAGCTTACAAAGCGTCTATCTAAAATTAATTTCTGTTTCTTTGTTTCAAAGTCACAAACAAAGGACTATAACTTATTCACTTTATATACTTCGTTATCCTCATAAGGAATTGATCTACAATAATAGTAACGGACGATAACCGAATCAAAATATTAAAAAGTCTGAGCCAGCATCTAGGACAAATAGTAGTAGTAGTAATTTTCGTGCAGGCGAGTTTTTTTTTTTTTTAAAAAAAAAGAAAAGAAAATAAAGGGCCCATCATAATCAGTAGACACACAAGTGGTTAAGTGTGTAAAATAGTTGTAGGAATATGATAATAATAATAATAATATATCGTAATAATAAGAATAAAAAATACTTACAATACTTACAATAACTATGATAATATAAAACTATATTCATATTTGCCTCTCTGGACATGAATAAGATAAGGTTTTTATATAACGATGCTTGGAACTGTACAGTACCACACATATTTCACAAAAAAGATCGTAATTAACCAATAATTTATACCTCAAAATCTATGAACGGGACAAGATTTTAAACTCAAAAGTACCCCAACAATCACGGATTTACCCCTGCCGCTGTTATCGATACACTTTTCACTCCCTCAGTCAAGCTGTCTACATCTGCATTTGCACGAGATTCAGACACGGGTGTTGTTGCCGATGCAACCGCGTATAGTGTATTCCGTCCAGCTGTTTCTGTTGTGTGGTGAGATCTGCGTTTAAAGGCAGCTACTGCTTTCATCTGTAAGTAGACACATTATGTAACAAAAATACACACGAGCAGTCAGGGGTAGAAAACCGCATGATAGTGAGAATGTGAAAATCATGTATGCTAATGTAGGTTCTAAGGAGAACATCTTTCGAATACGAATTAATTAATACACATACCACCATAGCAATGTTACTCATAGTCATAAAAGCAGCCTGGCGTTCATCGTCTGTAATCTCATCAACAACTGCGGCACAATTCTCTTCAGTCGTTATCATCGGTTCAGTGCCATCATTGGTAACCCAGGGGTGTTCCTAAACAGGAGATGCATAATCGTTATCACTTGCATATTTTATCACATAACGGGTAAATCACGTGATAAATATACGAACCCTGAGTTGTTGCAAAGTAATTCGCTCACTGGGATTCTTTGCTAATATTTTTTTAAACAGATCCTTTAAGCGAGGATCAGTAGTCTCTGGCATTGGAGGTCTTGGAAAGTAAATGAAATCAGTAAGTGAATCACATGATCACAAATCAATTCTTTGACTGATCACTCACTCGTCGTTTTTTATGCTTTCATACAACTCAACCACATTATCTTTCACGAATGGCAAAGTTCCAAACAACATACAATACAGCGTCACTCCCATTGACCAGATGTCTGTTGCTTTACCAGATATTTCACCATGGCCAGCTAGTTATACATGGTTCAAGTGCTTCAGAATCCAGTCACAAACAAACTCATTAATCAGTCACATCCAATTCACAACTTACATTCACAAAGTTCCTACAATAATCCAAGTGTTAGTTACTATATAAAAAAGAAAGCATCAAATTTACATCCGAATCTACTCACTGGAGCCATGAATGCCGGACTGCCTGCTGGTTTGACCGTTTTATCATTTCCCGATGCAAAAATTTCGGAAACGCCGAAATCAACAATTTTCAATGTGTCATCACTAGAAAGAAGCAGATTGTCTGGTTTGATGTCTGTATTTTTTTTTAATCACAGAAAGAGAAAAACGTTAATAAAGCTTTCCGCAAACAGAATGTGGAAAGAGATTTAACAAGTCGACACACCTCGATGAACGATATCATTCGAATGTACTGTAAAGAGAGCGATGTAAATGTGGGCAAAAATGACAAATGGGAAATCAACCAAAACAATCGTCAAAAGCCAGGTCCGACTTACGATACTCGACCCCGAGGATTATATCTCTAAAATAAGATCGTGCCTTGTCTTCAGGAAATGGCTTTGCTTTCTTTAAAATATTCACATTCATTAACACGCCCTTTTCACACAATTCAAACACTATTGTAGGCAAAAGCAGTGATAAGCATTCCACTTTACATCGTTCGCTTTCAACTTTCCCCCACCCCTCTTTTCATCTCAACTTGTGTATTCTAACACACACCCATATAGAGCGAATCACCATTAGCATCGTCAAGAACTTCGAATAAACGGACAATGTTTGGATGACTAAGCTTCTTCAATATAGCTACTTCATCGCGTACTAGATATAACGGGTTAGAAGTGTCAGGGCTAGCACCTCCGGCTGACGGTCCTCGAAGCGCACGCCAGCCGCGACGACGTCCGCGTCCTGAATGTACTCTCCGGAGACGACTTTTGCTAAACTCTTTTATTGCCTACATTATGGAGAATTGCCGGGTGGAAAAAAAAAATAAAAGATGAATACGAAAAAAAAGAAAAAGATCTTGTTAAATAAAAAGTCGTTGGTTCAAGATCAAGTTTTTGATTTGTTCTCCAACTGAAAACGGCAACAGCATATAATCCAACGGCCGTCAACGTACAAAAACTTGGATTCCCGTAGAATAAAGCTTTCTACCCAAAAATCGCAATTACGTCTTTACACCATACTTTCACTTACATATCTCTTGTCACTATTTTTGTCTTCAGCCAAAACCACCCGCCCGAAAGCTCCTTGCCCAAGTTCCTGTTTCAAAACATAGTTGTTTAGACACAGTTCTCCCTTTTGATTCTCGTCGACGAATGCCATGAAATCCAGCGACACGCGTCTCGGATTTGCTGCATGTGGAGCCGAAGAATGGTGCGCAACACTCTCCATTGTAAAGTGTAACTCGCAAGAAAAAAGAATTTCGCTCCTCGCGCGGTCGTTGTAACGATAACAGGGACACCTCGGTAGAATGTATGGGAAATGTCTCGGGGGTTGAAATCGAGGAATTCGAGCAGAGAGATAGAACGGCAAAGAATCTTCCCTTCGAGACAAGAGAAAAACCGTACGATGTGCGCTTCAGTTATCTCATGTGATAAACACGCGAACAATCATTCGCCCATGGGAATGAAACACAAGTGCTACTTTACCTGATTGTCATTAGTCTCGAGAATATTTAATATGTGGTGATTACAGTGTTGTCCGAGCAAAAAAAAAACAAAAAACAAAACTTAATGAACAACAGTTGAAAAAGATTGAAATGTCTTCTTCAACTGAGGTCGAAACTTTTCTAAAGAAACCCGACGATAGCACTACTGGGGGACATGTGGTAGAATTCCTTAATTCGCGATTTCGCGAATTAGAAGACTTGGAGAAGCTTGACAGCATTTTGAGTAATATAAAGAAGCGCGAGGGAGAACTGGAGGAAAAGGTCTACTGGATTTACAACTTTTTTTTTTCCTTACTACTAATACGAGAATTGCATGTTAATGCCCTCACGATTTTTATAGCGCGTAAAGACGCAAGAAAAAACAACAGAAACGCTCCAATCGTCTTTAAAAGCCTTTAAATCGACTGTAGCGCTTCTTGAAGGTTTCCAGGCTACGCGTATGGATCTCGAAGAGGATTTGACTGACCACTGCAGCGAACTCACTTCTTCGAATTCTTTTGGAATTTATCGAAAACCAAACTCTAAAACATTCCTTCAAGACTTGATTCTCTTAAACGACAATATAACCGATCTCAAGGCCGCAAAACAGTATCTGGGAACAGTCATGGTAGCAGAGGAGCTAAGGTACGGACAAGCAAACAGTTTTAAGTTTCCAGTCTGTTGAATCCATGTACGAATTAACCCCGCGTTCATTATATTTTAGTAATCAAGCAACGCAGTTGATTGAAAAATCACCACAAAAGGCTCTTGTTCCTTACATGCAATTGGCCGAATTATCGCAAAATATTAGAAAAAATAATAATTATAGTGACGGAGTGGTTGGCAACCTTGATGAATATTTGATGAGGACAGTCGAATCTTTATTATTGGAAATGAGAAGCAGGCTAACAAAGTACGCACTCTTGATGATTGAAAATCTTTGGTTTTGCCACGTCTCTTTTCTTCCTCGGATCATTGGCTTGTAATGCATGTGAAAAAAAAACAACGAATAGCAAGTTATTGATTGATTTATTGCTAAAACGCGATTTGCCGTACTGTTGTAGAAAATTCCAGCAGACACTCGATGCCTTGCAATGGCCGAATCCCATCGAATTGCCATACACACCAAACATGCATGACAAAATAGCTGCTTTTCGGAAAGCATTCATTGAATTGTTACTCCTCCAGCGTCCAGTCGAGAATCTTGATAATCGAACTTTGCCGAGAGACTCTACCAAGGGCAAGAACCAAGAACTACCGCGGCTCATTCCGATTGAAGTGATGGTTGAACCCTTGATTTTACGATTCAGATATCATTTTGACTCCAAGAGGCGTACTAATAGAATCGATAAGGTTTGTGTTAATACGGAATGTTGCCGGTTAGATAATTGTGCAAGTTATCTAATAATCTACATCAGCTAATATGCATTCAATGACTTTCAAACAAACACCTACGCGTCTAATTGACTAATGGTCGGGTTTTTGCATAAAGCCAGAATGGTTCTTTACCTTTGTTTTGAACATGATACGTGATCATTCTTTGTTCTTCGCTGAAGAAGTACAAAGCATTCTCCACGAAGCCAAGTTTACGCTTTACAATGCTAAAGTAAGTACGATGAATACTTTTGACTTGTCCATATTCTATCCATAATTACACTGTCGCATGTTTTCTTTTTCTTCCAGAATGACTTTATTAGAGCGTTACTCACTGCAATAACGCATAAACTCAGTCATATAGCACCATCATTATTAAATACACCGCACATATTCTCTCATACAGTATTTGAGACTTTACAATTTGATCAGACCTTACGAGAAGTTCACTTTTATGTCCCGCCCGGACTAGAAGAATGGAAGGGATGTGTTGAAGTGTTTACTGGACGCAAAGAATTGTTTAAAGCTTGGCTTCAGGTAGAAAGAGATTGTAAGTAGGGATGAACGTTCCCATCTACATGCGTGTGCTATATGCTTATTATTTTTAAACACATTTTTTAGTTGCAGAAGCTCGTTATAATGATATCGTGCATGCAGAAGACGCATGGGACATTGATGAAGATGCATCGTCAGAAGACGAACTTCGGCCAACAAAATCAGCAGAAAAGCTAATCGACCTGTTGGAATTAATAACAAGTAATACATTCATTACACCCAAAATGTCTTAACTTTTTTTTTTGTTTCATTCACACTAACCATCTTGTATTGTTAAGGCCGTTACAAACCTCTCCCAATGTTCAATATTCGTATACGCTTCCTTGTTGATATTCAAACAGAACTTCTCGATGCATATGCAAAGAGGATAGAGTCTGCCGTCAATGCTTTTGAAAGTATTGGTCATTCTATTATGAAGGCAGTGCCCGTTGCAGGGGCAGTTTCTGATAACAAGTGGACAGAGGGTGTTGAGGGATTGAAACGGTTGTGTCGGTGGTTGAGTGCAGCTAGATATGTTTGTGCGGTTATCAAAGAATGGGGAGAAGATCCGGTATGTAATATTCATGGAGGACGAATAGCTGGGTGGGATCGTGATCAACATCAAACCAAGAGCAATTTATTCTGTGTATGGAGAAACTGTGAGTAGTATTAATACCATCCATATCTTTGGGATCATTTGCAGTTTTTCTTGGACTTGTGGCACGATGTCAATATCCGTGCTGCCATGAATACAGACGTCGCCTCTTTACCCTCTCCTATACCTTCAGTCAGATCGTCTGAAGGTGGTGCTCCTGATGAAGACGATGAGGCATATGACACTTCAAACAATGATGGGACTATATTTGACGGATCAGCTGAACCGTATGATAGATTAATAGAACGAATAGAGAGGATAATTGTCAGGAATGTATCCCGAGAATTTACGAATGAAGCAAAGGCGTACAACAGAAAGTAAGAAAAAAGTCTGGATCCAGTTTTCATTTTGCTTATGCTGTCTATCGGTATTCTATTTACCACTTCTCGTTTCGACATTTAATTAAAGGACAACATGGTCTCGCAAAGATATCCACACTTTCGACGCTTCCGTTGCATTTCCAACATCACACTTGGATCCTTCATTCGATCCCAAGAAAGCGTTAGAAATCTCTCCCGAACTCTACACACCACTCGCGCAGCTTACTCATTCGCTCACTTTTCTTGCTGATAATCTCCCTAACAGACTTTTTTTGCAATTGTACAAAGAACTGTCGAAAGAGATTGAGGATTACTTGTGGCATCGTTTATTGATGCGCAATCAATTCTCTGAAATTGGGGGTTGGCAATTTACGACCGATGTTGAGAAGGGACTGTTTACTATTGGGCGAAGATGGGTCAGGAAGCCCGAGACATATTTCAGAAGGTAAGCAGTCGTCTGTCAAGTACTTGGGTTTAATCGACTCATTAATCAAGCGTATGATTTGTTGCATAGGACACACGACGCGTGCATTCTGCTCACCCTGCCAACCGAAAAGGAGCATAGACACAATACTGGAAAACATAGGACTATCTTTGACGTCCTGCAAATTCTAACTAATAATGATGAACCAAATGCTATTCCAAGATTATTAGAGGAATTGCAAATATATGTTTTGAACGCTGAAGAAGTGAGAGAAGTAATAGAGAGACGAGTAGAGGTTTGGAGGCATTAAAGAAATATTATTATAGATTCTATTGCTGTTCACTTTTTCCCCCCAAGATTTTTTAGTGGGATTCTAGATTATTAGTATATTCAAAGAAGTAGTTATAAAAAGTGTACATTTAATTCTATCTTTGGGCACAAGGGTAATTTTTAATTTAATCCAGTGATATAATAAATTTGCGTGATTATTGTAAATTTACATCACCTAATATGCGCACCATGAGATTATACGATGCTGTACTGTTCAGCAGTCAAAATCTTTTCCTTTGAAAAAGACACTGGAGCGCCATTTTCAAGTTGAGTAATATCAAGAACCTAAAAATAACAGAGTTGTTAGTTATCCGCCTATGAAGGATTCAACTATACCCATCTAATTCACTTACCTCAACGTTACAATATAGCTTCTCGCTGACAAAAGCAACCGAAACTGGGAAGAAGACATCTACATCATCGCCGGCAATTTCAAATTCTAATGATCCTTGCTTATTGGAAGCGTCGATTATAGGTAACAGCCAATCAAGAGTTTTGGTTTGTCGGTTGAACTCGTAATGTCCATCAACATCTCCAACAGTTGGACTAGCACCAGGAGGCAATGGAATAGAAATCACAACGTCTTTCAGCTCTTGGTCCGCACTCTCGAGTTCATATTCAATATTTACAGCCATCGTGCCATCGTCTGCCGGAGATGGCCAGCAGTTTACTATCATAAAATAAGAGTATATAAGAATTCACTGAATTGAATGCTAAAACATAAAATAAAATGCTCTGTTCGATTAACTCACTTGAAAGAGGCACTGCACTTTCATCTTTTGTGCTATATTGCCATCGAAGAACTCCCAACGATTGATTCACAGGAAATCCCTTCGCCGCATTCTTCACAGTAATAACATTATCGGTTGCAAAAAGATTTCTGTCCACGTTGGGATGCGTCTAAAAAAGCAATACTCGTTCAGAACTAACATATTTAAAATCAATAAAAAATTTCAAGTTCCCAACCTTAAATTGCAAATTATTGTCATCATTAGCACGGACACTCAGCTTGATACGTGTCAAAGATACTTCGGAAATAGTTAATTTCATCTCTCCTTTAACGTCCAAGTTCTCTATCCCACCATCTCTCTTCGCTTGCAGGCTGATTTTTTCCAGAATGGATACGTGAACAGGTTCAACAGAAACTCTAGAGATAGCGGTTTGACCGACTGATTTTTCAGATAATTCATCGATGCCAACTTCATTTTTGACGGCTTCGAACAAATCAGCACCCTTTTGTTTACGACCAAGTTGCATGCCTTTTGCTTTCGAGACTGGGGTTGAAGAACTTGGAAAGAATTCATCAATTAGTGACTCGCAATCGATCGATTCGGGGATGTTTTTGGATAACTGAGCGTAAAAGAAAGAATTCAAAGACAGATTCTATACTGAAACGCGGTCTGATTGATAAACCAAGCAACGCTTACATATAGTATGCGAGGCCGTACTTGAAAATGAGTCTAATGATTCGCCATTCACCAATTACGTAAAATCATAAATAAATAAACTTACTTGCTATAAGAAGAACGAATATTGTCATCAAGATTAGTCTGGACGTGAGGTTCAGCATAAGTCATAGGCCTAGACACAGATATTCCAAAGCTACTGCCAAAGGGAGAACCCGTTACACCACGCTTAAGCATTTCCTTCTTTTGCATTTCCAGTTGTTTGGCCCGTCTCTTGAGCTCCTCCTTTGCTTCTTGTTCTTTGTTCTATCAAGATCAGCATAAACGGATCAAACATTCAGATATTCCAACGTTCTAAACCGTACAACAAGAAAAATTCCCTACCCGAGCTATTATCTCTTGAAGTTTCTCTTCATGACTTTCCATTTCGATGATACTCTTCACCTGAGCCAGATTAACATTCTCTCTATAACCCAATGACACAATTTCATCAAAAGTACTCAGTAATTCAAAACTATGCCTGAGTATCTCTCGTTCATCAGTAGAACGACATATATCAGACACCACACGCGCGAACAAATGCAGTGTGTCTATATCTTGGAGGATATTGGACTGACGGTTAGTGATGAGCACAACGTAAAGTTCGTCAAGTGGCTGATAGACATAGCGAACATGTTCTGTCTCGATCGTTGTGTGTTGCTGGCCGGCACTTGTTAATTTAGGAAAAGAGGCTAAAAGACCTTCTATACGAGCTCGTGGCATTTCACGATACTGGCGAGAGATCACGGCTGTTGGTTATGTAGCGAGTATGTAAAAAGAGCGAGAGAGAAATCAGGTGTCAGTATATATGAACTTTGTAATTATTCAAGTAATCGATCATATCGTTCTTTAACTTCTTACCTTTGCCGGCCTTTGTGCAAATAGCTGCTGCTAGCACAACCTATATGAAAGCAGTCAAAGCATTTCTTCATCACAACTCGGTCCCACCCGTTCTGCAATATAAACGCGTATAACCAAAGACAACTGACCATAATTCAAACACGTATTCAAGAGAGAGATGGTTTCGACAAAAAAAAAAGTACACAATTTTTGCGCACGAAAGGACAAATATGACGTCACGCAAGGTTATATAAAGATCATCTGATTTTAAATTGAATGCAAATAAGAAAGATCTAGAAAGCATTCTAATTAATTTAGGAGGTGAATAGTTATTGAAAACAATGAATAGAGAATACCATATTAATAAATCTACTGCAATTCAGCCATTGAATGAATTAATCGTTGCACTATGATCAATTATGTAATTGCCAATAATTTCTTTACACATTGTATATGCTAATAATTATACAAATCATTTTGTAGCTTAGCTTTTCACGAATCTGCATGTGAATGATGAATTGTTAACAAAAGGCAATTTCGCTGATCTTTGGCTCACAAAATTTATACCTCTAATATCCACAGGGACTGGCCAGTTTTGTTGATATATTAATACATGGGGATGGACATCATAAGAGTTGGGGTTACTATTACTACAAGTGAACCTATTTAAATCGGCGCTGAGCTCGGGTTTAACCGGCCGCTCACGACTACATTAATTAGAAACTTTCTCTAGCCAAACAATTTTCTTTGGCTAAACGGGCCAAAAACCAGCAAACCGTGTCCGCCGGTTTATCTGTACCCATAATAATAATAATAAGTGGTCAGGTGCCTCGAAATTGTCATATGTTAATGTGTCGCGTCAACACCCGTTTTTTCTTTGTGAAAAAGTTTTCAAATGCTTCCTCGTACAGTTATCAAAAGACGGTATAACCAAGTTGTTTTATTATTATAGTGAATTTATTTTCAAATCTTTACACTTTACTGAGCTATTGTATTTATTATATGTCTAGCTGGAAGAGAAAGAGAAAAGGCTGGAGAAGAGACTGTGAAATATACGAAAAAGTCTATAACTTTCTCACTGTCTCCCCATTCGAGCATATAACCGCTTCCTCAGTTACCTGGCAACGGTGGGATGCTAATGGGAGTGACAATGGGCAAACGGAACGAACCAGCGGGTTTTTTGATCTCTAAAGAGAATTAGAATCATACACATCTACACAGAACAAACTACACAGAATCTTCACACAGGTTAATATTAATATCAATTTATGATTAAGATATGATTAATTAGAATAAATGAAGAATGATGCAAATGCAATTTGAAATTAGCATTAGTTTTTTCGTCCCATAGCCCGTGAGTAGTAGTACAGGATGAAATATTCTTGAAAATGTGGGGGGTTTGTTTGACTAATACATAAGGAAAAAGAAGTGAGAGACTTACTAAAAAAATTTAAAGAATATTTAGATTAGAGAGAAGCTATTACAACAAAAATATGAACTTAGCAGAAGCAAAGAAGATTGGTAGTAGTAGATAAAGAGTTGATTATTGTAGTATTGAATTTATATTTACTGCTCATGACAGTTATTATTATGATTGCCCAGTTTGATCAACGCAGGTAAGATTTACTATCTCAGTCGCGTAAAGTACATTTATTTAGTATCCAAGGAAGTAGTACATAAACAAATTGATTATATTCTTGATGAGATAAAATTATTGGCAAAGGTCCTAATACTGATGGTATGTTACGGCGAGCATCGGCTGACGTCGATAAGCAAGTCACATGGTAAAATCTTCCTCCGCAGTAATCAAACAATACCCCTGACGATCTA